CTCGTGTCTTCCCTCTGTCGAACCCTAACCATACCCGCCATCCGCCGCTTCTCTACCGCTGCTGTTGCTGCGGCGCCTAGTGTGGAGACACAGTATGAGGACGAAAATGGAATCTCCATGAAGGGGATAAAAGTTGCCGGGCGTCCGCTGTACCTAGATATGCAAGCAACCTCCCCGGTGGACCCTAGGGTCCTGGACGCTATGCTTCCGTTCTATGTCTCCCGCTATGGGAACCCGCATTCACGGACTCACCTCTATGGTTGGGAGTCCGAAATGGCCGTGGAAGCCGCACGTTCACAAGTCGCTGCACTTATTGGGGCCTCGCTGAAGGAGATCATCTTCACCTCCGGCGCCACCGAGTCCAACAACATCTCTGTCAAGGGCGTTATGCACTTCTACAAAGAGAAAAGGCGCCACGTCATTACCACCCAGACCGAGCACAAGTGCGTCCTTGATTCTTGCCGTCATCTCCAACAGGAGGGGTTTGAGGTTACTTACTTGCCGGTGGGTTCTGATGGGATTATCGATCTCGAAAGGTTGAGGAGAGAGATTCGTCCTGATACGGGGCTTGTTTCTGTTATGACGGTCAATAACGAGATTGGGGTTATTCAACCTATGGAGGAAATTGGCAGAATTTGTAAAGAATTTAGCGTTCCGTTCCACACTGATGCTGCCCAGGCGTTAGGAAAGATTCCGATTGATGTGGAAAAGTGGAATGTAAGTTTGATGTCTTTGAGCGGGCATAAGGTTTATGGTCCGAAAGGAGTTGGGGCTTTGTATATGAGGAGGCGGCCGCGAATTAGGGTTGAACCGCAAATGAACGGTGGGGGACAGGAGAGAGGGATTAGGAGCGGAACAGTTCCGACGCCCCTTGTTGTGGGGATGGGAGCTGCTTGTGAGGTTGCTATGAAGGAGATGGAGTATGATGATAAGAGGATTACAGCTCTGCAAGAGAGGTTGCTGAATGGGATTAGAGAGAAGCTTGAAGGAGTAGTGGTGAACGGCAGTGTGGAGAGGCGGTATGCTGGGAACTTGAACTTGTCTTTTGCTTATGTGGAGGGTGAGAGTCTGCTGATGGGGTTGAAGGAGGTGGCGGTGTCAAGTGGAAGTGCATGCACCAGTGCGAGTTTGGAGCCCTCATATGTGTTGAGGGCATTGGGAGTCGATGAGGACATGGCGCATACTTCAATTAGGTACGGGATTGGTAGGTTTACCACAGAGGAAGAGATTGATAGGGCTGTTGAGCTCACTGTTAAGCAGGTTGAGAAATTGAGGGAAATGAGCCCGCTTTATGAGATGGTGAAAGAAGGGATTGACATTAAACAGATTCATTGGGCACAACACTGATTGAAATTGAGCTTTGAGGCTTTCTGTGGTCACCAACGTGAGCAAATGAGGCTGTTTGAGATGTGCATTCTATAAAACAAAGATTACCTTGTGGGCTGGAGCCGCATATTCAGAAATGGAAATGTGGCCTTTGAGGCTTCATCCAGGTTTTCTTTTGTTATCCTGTATATGCCTTTGTGTACCGTCCCAGTAATTTATGGTTACGGGGAGTATTAGGTTAGTTTTATATTGTAAAATGTATGCATTTGTCTAAACTTATAGCATACTTGTTTCGATAATGGGGGTAATGCAGGATACTTCTGGTGTAACGGCAAAATTAATTTGTTTGTTTTTTTGCACCAAGCTTAACAGTGTGGCTTTCTGCTGTACAAATATTTGCTAATTGATTTGTTATTTTTATGTATTGAACAATTTTGGTTGGTTTTAGATAGCACATGCTTCAAACTTTTGCTACCTTGCCTATTTTCATCATGAATAAAATGGAGTCCTTTGGCCAGTTTCAAGGCTTCAAATAATGGCTTTCGTATTTCATATTGGTGATTTTCTTTCATTTGCTGTCTTTTGTTGGTTCTGTTTGGCAGTTTGATTGAATTATGCTGTGAGATAGGGTGTACAATGCTTCTTGCTCTCATTAATAGCCCCATATACCTATATATTAGAGTCGTGTCTAGTGGTTTGAGAATGCAGTGTGACTTCCCATTTGCACTCGATTGTTAAGCTGCTAGTGGTTTCAATTTTAGAATATGGAGCATAAACTAGGGTGCATTTTCCCTACTTATTGTGATGGACAACACCTCCTCCTGACACAAGGAAGAAAACTGTTGAGAAAATTTCTCTTAATTCCCATCTTAGACTGTCTGGATCCAGTTTAATGCCTCTGCCCTCTAGCTCTAGGAGCCCCTCTCTGTTATCTAGGGGCTGAGCCATTTTGAAGGCTTCAGTAACTTATGTGAATTTGACCTGCTGAGAGACTCCAGCTTTCAATTAATATCCAGTTGTCTCTATAAGTCTTAGGAAAGACTTTGTTCTAGTGCTAGTGACTATTATTGGAACAATGTCAAAGGAGGAATAAATATCAGGCTTCCTTTTGTCTGATAGTATTTTAAATAGAAAGTAATAGTATTGAGGACATACTTCTGAATGTTCTGTTTGTAGTTTTTGCGTTTAGGATCGTAGTGGCTCCATGCGAGAATTAGTACTAGGTAATGAGAATGCGAAGAACCTTCTTCTCATGTGTTTTTGGCCTTTCTCAGGGGGCAAAAAGAAGCAAGCTTTGTGGAACTCAAGCCATAAAGCAGGGTATGGTTATAAGCAGCTTGTATCAAAGGGTGGGTAATTAGAACTAAATGAGTTTAGCTGGCAACCCTTGCCTCTGGAGAGAAAGGATACATCTGCATGGTTCTTCCTGAGTATTTTTTTTTTCCCTTATTTATTAACCCTAATATTTAGGAATATCATGTATAGCACTCCACATAGAATTCAGGGAAAATCTAAAAGTCTACTAAGTTAGACACTAAGGATTCTGTTATAGACCTTTTCTTGTTCTATACTTCTATAACAAGGCCTCCCTACTATTTTTTTTGTCCTGTTGTCAAGGACCAATTTCTTCAAATAGAACTGGTGTTAAATTGTCTAGCACTAAAAAAAGGTGGACAGCCACAGATGAACCAAAAAAGAACTGTTGATAATCGATTAGCGATCAATGTTCTGTACCAACAAGGATAGCAGACAAGCTTGACCCAAGATTATTGTAAGTTCCCTGATCTTCCTCTTGGAATTGAAGGTACTGCTTTCTTTTGTTTGGACTTCAGAATCCCTATATGTGATGTTTAGGCATAGAGTAATGATACGGGATGATTTTGGGAGACGAAATCACGGGACGACAAGTGAAGCAATCTCAACAGCAATTACCAATTTAATCCTGTTTTATTTGTTGTCCTGTGATTTCGTCCCCAAAATCCTCTTGCGTATCATTACTTTTAGGCATATTGTTTTCTTGAATCTGTTCTCGGAATCTTCCCTAAGACCCCCCCAGGAAAATGGCCCAACAGAGATGACTGTACCACGGAAACTGAAACCACACTACTCTGATCATTATTAGTTCCCATCTGCACTGTATGGGTATCGCAGGGAAGGACTGTGGCTATGATTTGCTTTGGAAAGTGCAATATACTTTGTCCATGGTGACTTGAGCTGTGAGGGATGGAGAAATTTCAAGGCTCCTGGCAAAGAAAGGATTTCAGGAATCAGAATCCGTTTTCTCACACTGCTTTTCCTTTTCAGTTGTTTGTCTTGACATTTGCACACGAAATGTTCTCTTGTGGTTTTGGAATTGAATTCGGACATAGATTATTGCCATGTCCATATCTCCATGTCTATGGTGGACCTACGTGATCTTATTTTACCTTTTTTTATCACTGTTACTCTGGTGTACTCCTATATTCCTAAGGGATTAACAATAATTCCAGAGTTTTATGGAACACAATTACTGGCAGTAGAATCAACAGACCATATCCTATCAAAAAATCAGCAGATGGAATATTTTATATTTCTTTTTACTGCCAGTAAGTAAATGGAATATGTTCATGCCCTGTTAGAGCCTTGGAGGTGATTGATGATTCCGGCTTCTGGGTAAGACTAAACAGACCTTTCGTACACTGAGAGTCCAAAACTAAGAAAATTATTACTAGTTCTGACTATTGAGATATTCACAAGAGTTTTAATTTTTACTCATGTTTATGTTTATGATAAAGTTATCTGTAGTTTAAATTATAAATTTAGAATTTAATTTTTTATTTTTATTAAAAAAAGACAAAATTTAAACATCCATAAAGTCACTCTTAAACCTTTTTTTTTTTGTTAAATGCTTTTTTGGTCCTTCCACTATTAAAAAAGCCTTTTTGTCATTGTATTGAAAAAAATCCATTTTTAATCTTTAAAGTTTAAAATTCAGCCCCAAAGTCTTTTCGTTAAATTTTTGCTGACTTATCACGTTAGTTAACGGAAACAATTAATTATTTTTTATATAAATGATGTGGAAATTACATGGATAAAATTATAAATCCATGTAAATACTTTATCTAAATATTTTGAGCCATGTGTATAAATTAAATATTTTACTTCTTAATTTATTAATTAAATTAATTTCAACATAATTAACTTTAATTTCTTCATCTTCTTCTTTCTTTTCATCCTCGGCATCATCACGTCACCATATATCTTTGCCATCCTTTTCATCATCTTCACCATCCTTTTCCTATCCATCATCCTGGGTTCCTTGAAGAACCCAAATGCTCAGTTCCTTGAAGAACCCAGTTGTTGGGTTTCTCGTGGAACCCAAGTTTTGGGTTCATTATGAAACCCAAATTGTGTTTGATATTTGGGTTTGAAACTACAGGTGACAGATTTATGTTGTTTCGTTCATGTTGCTATGAACTTCATAATTTGATTCATCCCTGACCTAAATTCAACAAGAAGAAATGTTGAGAATATGAAATTAGTAATTAATTTTTATTATTATCAATAAAAATACTCTTATGAATTCTCAATTATATCTTGATCAATCTCACATGTAAATGATTTGATTATGAACGAAGAATTTCAAAAGAAGGAAAATGATTTCTGGAGAGAGAATTAAAAAAATAGAGAATTTAGGGTTTTTTTTTTTTTTTCACACCAAGAGAGTGACGTGGAGGAGTAGTATTAAATTCATGTAACCACCTTTACTCAATGGAATATTCATGTTAGATTTTCTTGTTAACATAACATGCCATGTGAGCAAAACTTAACGGAGGGACTAAAAAAGTTGAATTTTAAACTTTAAGGACCAAAATGGAATTTTTTCAATACAAAGACAAAAAGAGATTTTTTTCAATAGTAGAGGGACCAAAAAAGGCATTTAATCTTTTTTTGGGTTTTTTTTTTTTTTTGGTACATCTTTTTTTGGGTATTTAGTCACACTTAAACTTCTTGTTCACTTATTATATTGCATATCTTTTAATGAAAAATATATGCAATTTAATATCTAGTTGGAGTCCAAATACAACACATTCAAATTGGTTTTTTTTTTTTTTTTTTGAACTGCCAACACATTCAAATTGTGAATATGAGCTTGTGCAATGTTTGGGAAGGGGAAGCGGATGGATTTCAGTGGAGTCCAAAAAACGATTAAAGAGATATCAGAAGGTTTGAAGTTTGACCACCAGTAAAATTGAAATTTAATAACAAAAAAAAAAAAAGAAGGTGTTTAGTGGGCCGGACCACATCTAATTACTAAACACTAAACACTAACCACAAATTTAAGAGGGGCTTTTGATATTAAAAGATTGTATTTTATAGTCTAAACTATAAATTTCTGAATTCATTTAACAGTTACTAATTGAAAAATGTTAATACCTTATAATCAAAGATTATATTAGACAAAGATTATATTAGACATTACATCAGATAATTAAGTATTAAAGAGAAAATGTGCGTATAAAAATATAAACTTTATTATTTTTTTCTCTTTAATGATGTAAATTTTGTTGTTTCCAAATAACATGATAAATTTTTTTTATTTAAAAATATTAATTTTATATTTTTTATTTAAGAATTAATTAAAATACTAAAGAAATCATTTGTCACATCAGTGTCACAATCCAATTAATATTTATATAGAAGAAAAAAAAAAGCAAATTTGATAACTTAAAAAAAAAGTTAAAATTTTATCATAATCTACAAAATTTACATAATTAAATAAAAGAATAAAAAATTTATATTCTTATCTATATTTCTTGAAGTAGCGAAGCACTAGTATGGGACTGAGGCCAGTCCAAATATCAAAAATAAAAGGTTAAATATTAATTTTAGTCCCTTAACTTTGAACTTTTATATAGTTTGTCACTTAATTTTTTTATATCCTTTTTTTGGTCCTCAGCCACGAAAAATACATTTTTTTAATCTTTCTGTTAGTTAATCTACTATATATATTTATATATAACATTTTTAATTCCTAAACTTTTAAATTAAAAGAGAAAAATTATGTTAAATTTTAAAGTTGAGAGATTAAAAAAAATATACATAGACAAACTTAATAGATTAATTACTAAAAAGACTAAAAAATATATATTTTACTGTTGAAGAATAAAAAGGTGTATAAAAAAGTTGAGGGACTAAAACTGTAAAAAAAACTCTAAAGTTAAGGGATCAAAATTGATATTTAACCAAAAATAAAACCACTAGCTGTTTTTTTGCTGCTGCCATTCAGGAAGGCCTTCCCTTCCCCCGTATCCTGTTGATTGATTTAAGCTCCTAATTTCGTACCTTCGCATTTGCGAGCTTCGTTGACGAGTCATATCTACAGGAAATGATGCATGATTTTTGTAGCAGCAACAATGAAAGACGCACCACAGACGGAAAATATGCCGATGAAATATCCCATCATGCGCGTTTCAAATATTTCATGAATTGGTCGCTGCACTTTAACTTTAACAGCTTTCCTTTTTTTGTTCCCTTTTTCTCATAATCTCATCTCTCAGGGACGATTCTCTGGCTTCTCTTCTATCTTTTCAATTCAATTCCGGTTTTAAGGGACTAGCAGTCCTTGTTAGGTTAACAATGTGTATCAAACGGACTAAACATTGTTAAAGTTCAAATTTTTATTAAAATAGTTGTAAAATTTCCTTTTTTTTCCTCAAAATTTGTCTTTGGTTAAAAAAGAAAAAAATTCCTGTCTTAAGGACAGGAATCGTTTTGTATTTTTCCAGTTGATTTTTTATCCTGTAAATAGAAAAAGGCTCACTTTCAGTTCCTCAAATTACTGTTTACTTGCTTTTGGGTGCTTCAGAGTTCAGATGACTTTGTTTGTTTTTCTAGTTTTTCTTGCACGTGAAGAAATAGTACGCCTTAATCTTCTCCTATTGGAGATGGACATCAACCTTTATTTTGAAACTGGGGACAATTCTGGAGTGTGGGAAAACTAAATAAGCCAAAACCAAACTCTACTTTAAGAAAATCTTTCTGCTTTTTACTGATTAATTTCTAGATTTGGTATGAAATGAGTGCTTAAATATAAGCCAAGAAATTCTGAAGTGCACAATTAGGAATCAAGAAATTACATCATATATGTTGCAGATCATATATATGATCTTGATCTCACAAGCAAGAGAATGGGACAAAAGAGAGCAAAAAAATTTTCTTAATTTACATGATATTCAAAAATGGGAATGGGACATGCATGGGAGAATATTTAACAATCAAGGGTTGAAGATGAGGTTCCCACATTTGCACTTCCAGCTCAAGGGCTTGTAATTGGAGTACCCCTCTCCTCTTTCATATGCAGCATTCGAGAAATGTGTAAAATTTATGTTCTCATTATGGACTTGTGGATTTGTAGGCACCTGAATAGCCTCACAGTGGTCACAGGAGCTGCACCTTCTCTCACACCTTGGAGGTCTTGAACCTATCCGACCCCTCAACACCACTTTGTCTTCATTCACTGCCTATCCAAAGCTAAAACAAGCCCAATCACCATTTTTGAGAGACGGGGAAACAGAGTTTTAGGATTGAACCTACCTTTTGTCTATGAAAATGCAATAACTCACCTGGGCAAAGCTATCAGTTTTAGGATCTGGTCTACCTGTAAAACATAAAAATTGAGAAATTACTTCAAATTGCACCATTTTGTTAATTAATTCAAAATGGGATACTGTGGGGATATTTTACCTTCAACCTTGAATCTCAGTTGGGTTGTGCTCAAAATCAAGAAAAAAACCAAGAAAATGAAGCCGTGACCACATCCCATCTTCAAAGACAAATTAAAATGAGAAATGGGGGATGCAGGGGAGAGAACCAGAGAGTATATATATAAAAGAAAATCCAAGTTGGAAAAGAACAAAGAATGGGTGAGAACTGAGAAGTGATGGAATGGCAGTATGATGTTAATGGGTGTATGGGTGTATGTTGAGGTGATGGAACGTAGAGGACAAAGGAGTAACGCAGAAATTTGAAAGGAAGGGATGAAAGGAACTTTGTAAAAGGAAGAAGTTAATTAACCTCGTATGTTGAGCCCCCTTTTTGCAACAAAACCGACGAAGATTATACAACACAGAATGTGTATAATAGAAGAAAGAGAAGGAACAGAAGAAGGTAGAGATGGAGAGGATAGATATGGCAACGATAGTAGAGGAAGAGAAAGTTAAAAGAAAGAAGGCAACCAAAACAGGCGGTGGAACACTGGAAAGGCCACGGAGTTCCCACAAACGGACATGGAATAACAGCTGTGGAAATTGTGTTTTCATTTAATTTCTTTTATTGGTTTTGAAGGTTGGGGTTTCTTGGAGGGGTTGGCCTGAGTAGTTCCACCTCATCACGCCATATCTTCCCCTTGCTCTGAGCTCCTACTCCCTTAGATCATCAAATCATGGTTTAATCACATGGGCAGGCACGCACTCCATGCAAACCCGCTCATGATTTTTTGGGTTTAGTCAAATAGCAAATGCCAGATGGTGTGCAAACAATGGCCTCTAAGAAAATGGGTTTTGACTTCCAGAATAATAAAATTGAGACGTCCAACGTTTTAAATAATAAGTGATTTATTATTAGAAATATAATTTATTTATTTTAATATTATTTTAAATATTTTCAATATTAAAATGTTTTAATTTCTCCAATTCCTTTGACTCGGCCCAAAACCGAACTTAATCGCGCAAGTGGCGACGTGCATGGGCGGGCCTAACCCTATGGCCTAGGCTTATATAAAACGTCTCTTTCCTCTCGGACACCGTATTTTTTTTTTAAAAAAAATATTTTAAAAATATTAATTAAAAAACAAATTTTTAGATAAATTTTTTAAAATAATATACCCTACATTATTATTATCTTATTAATAGAGTTCCCTTTTAAAATCCCCACCCATCACTTTAAAAGTTTATATTTATAAGTCCTTATTGACTTAATGATCATCTTTTATAAGGAATGATGTTTATGACATCAAAATTTTAGATTTAAAGTCAAATAATTACTCCCCACCTCCAAGTTTTTCGATTAAAAAAAAATTTATATTTATAACCTTCAATATAAAAATTTAGACTTTTACCCACTTACTACATTTGTTAAATAACTAAGACTAAAACTCTTAATATTTAATGTTTCATAAATTATTTAATAAATACATTTAATACTTTAATAATAATTAAAATTCAAATCATAACATTATCCTATTACAATTCCCATCTCCTACCTAAATTGTACTTGTTAATATGTATATATAT